CCAGCATTTTTTAAGACAGAAAGGTAAATTACAAACCGACTCTAGGGGCACAATGTATTTAGCTAACATGATTTACAATTTAAAAAAGTTTTCAGGTGTATATCTTAAACAAAATAGATCACGGAAAATGGGCAAGAAATGCTATACAAACGAACAGTCGTGGTAAAAAAAGATTATGTTATGTGTGTAACTTTGTAAAGTTATAAATAATTAAATCAACTAAAATGTAAACAAATAAATGATGTATGTATGTATATAAATAAATACAAACCCATATGTTAAAATCAAGCGAAAATCAAAAGTAAATAAAAACGCAAATACTAAGTATTTTAATTTTTTTTATTTTTATTTCTTTTTTTAGATTTTCCAAATTAAAATTTATATTTTAATTTTTAAATCAATTCTTGACTAAGTTTAAGTGAAAATAAATGATATAATAAATTATTATTTATACAAATAATAAATAGAGATAACATTAACAGATTCGTAGATATAAGGTTTAAGAGCCGATTTTATAAAAAATAATCATATCATAGTGATAATAATAATAAGAAATTAAGAGTTGTGAACGAAAAACAAACGAAGTAGAGTACATAACAGCGCCGAGATAATTATTTAATTGTTTAATACTAAAAATATATCAAAAACAAATAATTCATTATAAATTTAATCGAAAGTGGAAATGAATGGTATACATATTAAGTTTAAGGCGCATTTTAATTAATAATATTTATTATATTTATAGCAGTGATTTCATACGCTTCTTGTTATCGGATTATTAACGCTAAATTGGGCTTTCTTTATCATGGTTTTGTTATTATGATCATTAGCTTGCTTTGATGGTATTATTTTTTTTGGTTTATTTGTATTTTTTAATTATTATTATATTTTTTTTTTAATTTTGTAGCAAGAACACACTCTACTAGTGTGTTTTTTATCTGTATTTAAGTATCATTATTCATAATATTCAACAGGATGCAGCCTGATTCTTTTAACTAATTCATCATCCTGCTTAGGTTTTTCCTTGATTTCGTGCACAATTTCCAATTTTTCTTCTTTAAATTCTTCTTCACTAAAATCATGAAGACGTGAAGTACATAAATGATAAATTATTAAATTGAAATAACCATAATTAATGAAATTGAGTATACTGCCGCCATTACTGTTTTGTAGAATGTTTATTGGTATTTTTTCTTTTTTTATTTAAGAATTGAAAATACAAAACTTAAAATACGTTTAACATGAAAAAAAAAATATTCAAAAGCACGAACCAGTATTTTGTTTTTCTACTTCTTCTTCTTCTTGTACACTGAAAACATATGCAACAGCAGGCAATAAAGAATTTAATAAGATTAAAAAATAAACAAGGCAACTCTTTCACGCAAAGTGAAATATAATTTATAAGACATTTTATCTCGTTACACTTTTTAATGAATAATAAATAAAGTGCAACACCGCGCAGAGTTAGCTGGAGGTACGCCAAGCAAATGTAGGCGAATAAGTTGGTTTTTATTTTCCACTTGGCTTGCCTACAAGGTAGCAGCAATGGAGAGACTGAAAATGGAGCTGAACTGTCAACTGGTGGGTAACATCAGATGCTGTACTGCTTTAGGTATAATGACAACAGACTGGTCTTTCAATCGCTAGTCTAGGCAATACACAAATAATTAGTAGCCTGGATAATTGCCAAAATTACAATGGGTAGCGAAACACTCTCTGAAGTGACAGCCAAGCTGCTCTAAAGGCCGTGGAAGGCCGTTCGCACATCTTCAAAAATATTTAGTCCAGGAATGCAAGTCGTAAGCTGTACACCGTTGCAAAATGGAATGAGCTTGAACTTATGTGGATGCATGCCGGGGCACACAATGATTTTCAAAGCCAAACGAACTGGCTGCAAATGCATTGGCGAACCAACGTTCGTACGATCTACTATCATATATTTGGCTAAGGACTGTACTCAAAAACTCGTTGGGTAATTTGTACGCCTTAAGTCCAATGGGAACGGAGTAAATTTTAAGGTCATAAAAGATCTTATGAACAAGGCGCATGAGAGCATTTGTTGCAATACTAACAAGTACAAAACAATCACGCGTTTCCAAGAAAAGGTCAGACAGGGTGTGGTAGCGAGATATCTTTTTTAGACAGACTGAGCACAGTCCCTGCAGACGAAAGAGTCCAGCAACTTTTCATGGACGACCCACACTCACGGTCTACATGTTGTTTAGAAGAATATGATAGATAGATGGATAACGCACTGCGACCAGTCGGTCTATTGTGTGAAGATGAGGATAGTGTACAAATCAATTCCTTTGCAGCTATCCGGTACATTATTTGTCGGTCGGATGTGTTAAGAATGAACGTGCTGGTGTCTCTCTCTATCTCTTTTTCTCTCAACCAACTACTTTGTTCCATAAAAAAAGTCTCATAGTTTGCCGTGGCATAATAATTTAAGACGGAGACCTATATTGCTTACCCTATAAACTTCTAATTCTTTCTCTAGGCCTTAAGTACAGTGGGCAATAGTGTCTGAGTGCTTGAAAAATATTTACTTTGGCCACACACAATTGCATTCTTCCATTTCATTACTTGCGAATAACTTAAACTGCGGCTGCGTATACTTTTTATTGCCTTTTTGGTAAAGCCACTATAACTAATATTTGTGCATAAGCCGTTATCTAAAAGCAATTTGCCGGTCGTAAGTTGATAACTTGTTTTTTATTTTGTTTAATTTTTTATTTGTTTCTGTTTTTCTGATTTCATACTATGTACTTTTATAATGGCACAATTGCTTTAATTTTAGCAACATACTTTTTGTTTTTGCTTTCCGTGATATTATAAAACGCGAGCGCGCGCCTCAGTTACAAACATTTCATTGCTTTTGTTGCATATGTTTTATATGTACATGTGTATGCATAGCACAAATATACAATTTATGTATAGTATATGTATACACATAACTTCTAGTATATGCATATCAACTACAAATGTATACAAGTGTACATATATAGTTGGTAACTACTTTGGAAAACATAATCATCATTATCAGTGTAAATATGTTTACAAAAAAAAAAACAAAAATTATATTAATAAGCAATAAGTACTTAAAACAAAACTAACGCTTTTTCATTACTCGTCGATTAAGCATTACTTTGCTCCTACATACATTTTCTTTTTTGCATTACAAGCACAATCAGAATTCATATAAATCTACATGTATACGTATCGTCGTTTAAGGCGCAAAACCGCGTAACTGACATTCGCGGCAAAAATTAGATTTGCTCATCGGCATCCTGGCATCCAGCCTTATTTATCCACTCGTACCAAAATATCGATATTTAGATACAAAAAGTAATTATATTCAGGGATAAAAGAGAGAACCGTTTTCAAATAAGACAGGTTCAGCTTTTACTCTCTCCGGTAAAATTTGCGCAACCTCAAAAACGAGGTTTTCTACATTAAACGACGATATGTAGTATGCGTAAGTATGCACTTTGTAAACATTACAAAAAATACGATATAAAGTAAGCAAAAATATACCAGAACTAGTTGCAATTTAAGATACAAAAACAAAAATACTTTAAACAGCTTATAGTCGAAAAGTAAACAAGACATAAATGGTTTTTTTTTTGTATATAATTAAAATAGATATTACAGCAATTTAATTTTGGAGAATTTAAGTTGTTCTTATTTTTGAATGCGTATATGTATGTATGTATGTATGAAGTGTACTATGTACGCTTATAAATTTGGTCATTGATTGTTTTTTTTTACTAACTACATACAATACAATTATAATGTAACGTGCCGAAATTAAAAAAAAAAAAAACAAATAATAAATTGTTTTAGCGTGGCAATTATAGTTAACATATTAAGTCTCATTTTAACTGCAAATATTTTATGTACCTATGTATTTATGTTTTTACTTGTATTTGTTCACTTTGTTTTTAACTGTGTCTTCTTACTGTGTGCTGGAAGATGTCTCTAGGTCGTCGTCAACGTCGTCGTCGTCGAGTGTTTTGCTAGCACTTGTCGCGTTCGCGTATATTAGCTTAGTTATTTAACAACCTAAGATGTTATCTCTATCGTTTTCGCTTTTTGAAGTAACAAAAAGCAAAAATTGCAATACTCGCATTGCGGAAATTTCATTTACTTTAAATAAATATCAATAATTTACTTTTTAAGTAAATCACTTTTTAATTTGTTAACTAATTTTGTTTACTTTTCGCTAAATTTTATACAAAGTTTTAAAAATTGCTTGGTTCTCTATCGACGTCTTAAGTTTATACACGAAAATGAATTCGCTTGTCACAAAAGAAGTGAAATTATACACAGTTTTTTTTTTTTTTCTGTTTGAGAACTAAACGCAAGAACGCACGCCGATCACCGACTACAAATAATTTGCCATAATCGATTATTAGAGTTAATATTATTTTAGCATTTGATGTCGTTCAACACAGAAAGTGTACGAAATAGTGCCGCATGATCATTGCTTTTGTGACAAACGAAACATGCCACATAACGGGTAGTAAGTTAGTTGTCATCTTTCATGCGCTACGTGTGAGTGTTTGCTCATTGTTTTTTACTATTACATAAAATGATGCAGTTGGCCTGTACTTGGTATTCATCTTGATTTTAATGGGTGGCACAAACTTAAAATTATTTGGTTTGAAGGATTAAGTGGTAAATGTATGTACTCGTAGTATGTTTGTTTCTGTCGTTACTGTTTCTTTTAAATAATTTTTAAGTTTTTTATTCAAACTAGTAATTATGTATGTCTATCTGTTCGACTACATGTATGTATATAGTACGTGTAGTATCTATTTAGTTTTAACTATTCTCATTTTGTAGCGCTAATCTGTACTATTACACTACACACTTGTCTATATACTTCTTTGTGTATTTTGTGTGTGTTGGTATTGTATTTGTTTTTTGTTTTTTTTTTTGATGGTGGCTGGTATATAACGGTGGTGGTTGTTTGTGTTTATGTATACAAAACTTACTGATCTTGTGGATCTGTGTCGCTTTCTTCCAATTCACTCTTGTTGCGTCGCTTTTCGTAGATGAGAATGATCGCACAGAGGATCAGTACTTCGGCGCAGATACCCAGGAAAGGCCACAAGGCGGCGAGTTTGCCTAGAAAATATATATTTATATATAGCATGAATTTGAATCAATTTATTAAATATTTATAGATGTTGAGCGGTGATACTTGAAAGGTTTTATATACCGCGCATTTATTTAAATTTGTCAATCAACTACACAGGACTACCAAAAAAAAAAAAAAAAATCAATGAAAGGCTCTCCCTCTGCTCTGGCCAATATAAACTCTGAAATTTTTTTTTTTTATCCTGTGTTATTACTTTTTATGTTTTAATGCTGTATGCTTGCAGCCATCCGATCAGCAACTTCGGCATATTCTTTTGTAGCGAAGTCCTATTCTAAAAGCATATTTTTCTAACGTCCAATAGCCGTTGATGGTTGTTATAATTTTAAACACTTCTACCCTTCCACTACTTAGCAGGTCCTTTGTACTTTTCTTGCAACAGTCAGTAGCTCTCGCGCTACCTTCGAATTCTATGTAGATCTCTAACTACCTCTTCGTAGGTTATTTCAGAAAGTGTAAGGGGATTTCTGTTTGCATTTGTCTTTGAGGGTATCCCACAGTACCACCATCACTTCTTCAACACTTCGCAATTAGTATGCCGGAATGAATCGATTATAATCCAGATAACTTTTTCATAAGAATGGCTGCTTTGTTGTTGGCACCCTTTACTTACAGTGGTCAAAATATTTATTGGTACAGTAATTTTTTTACAATATTCGCAATTTTTTTATAATAATTTTTTTGTTAATTTTTCACGAAAATATAATTCATATGCTCACAAAGCCGCTATAAATTAGCGTTAATTTTTTAGAATTTTTTTCTCAAGGGTGTTGAGAATTTTCTTGCATACAACGTATGACCAAAATATATTTTTGTTCAACATAATTTGAAATTATCTGAAATTGAATGAGCTAGAAAGCGTACACACAACTTTTTCTAAAAATTTGGATGCACATTTTTTTAAGTAAATTTGGTAAATCATTATCAGTATTTTTAAAAATGTTTCCGTTTTTGATCTGTGGTTCTCTTCATAAACTCACCACGACCTTTTATTTTGTGGAAGATTACGCATATTTTCTTACAAATTACTGAAATTTATTTATATTTATAACTGAGGAAATATAGTATTTTTGCGTACTAAATTTTTTTCTCAACAGTATATAGTACGAAGACCGAAAAAATAGTACAATACTATATATTATAGTACGGTTGGCAACCCTAGCTGTGACTCCGACACAGCCTGCAGGTCAAGACGAAGGCGCTGGACTGATCCTTTTTCTTGCTTTTAATTATTTAGTTGTGCTCAACGAAAAACCATTATTAAGTAAAAAGTTACGCGGTTACGCGTTTTCTCAAGGCGATTTTTTAGAAATGTTAAAAAGCACGTTATCCTTTAACCTAGGATTCTTCTTCTGAAGAAATAAAAAACTACACTTTATACCCACAAATGTAAAATAAGTACCGCTCAACGACTATCACACGAAAAGTCACGATTTTTATAAAATACGCGAAATTCAGTTACAGTAGCAGCCTTTTTTCACGCATTTGGTAACTGGAACATTTGTTTCATACCTGCCTTTTTATTCCTCAGAACCGACATATGAACGTCTGAGCTTTAGGTGAGATCGCTAAAGAAGTTATACCTTAATGAAAAGAAGATTTTATGCTAGTTGCACTAGAAATTTCCTGATTTTCTGGATTTTATTACGTAAATTAGTCATTTACCGTGATTTTTGTTATGAATAACTATTTACAGAGATTTATACGTATAAGTTGTATTAACGAAGGTATTGAAACCGCACTTGGCAGTACTGCTGCTTTGTGGCGGCAACAATATGCCAGTACGCAAAATGTCCCCATCTCAAAAGATTTCCCCATATTCACTCACCCTTAACACGAACAAATGAAGCATCACTGGCCTCAGCGTAGTCAGCATACTCATTGGCGTCATTACGTCCAATGCATTTAAATTCGCCTCTATCATCAAGGCTTATATTCTCAATAGACAAGATTGCGTTTTTCACTTGATTATCATCGGGTTTCAAAATATAACGACCTGTGCTGTTTGAGATTGTTAAATTACCTGCCAGTGAGTAATATTTATTTTTAGGTTTAGTTTAATTATTCTTAATTAATTAAAGAGGAAACATTAAATGTGTTCGCACAAACTTACCAATCTTCCAAGACAATTGTGGATCTGTACCAATAGATGTACAGGCAATTGACAATTTCTCACCCTCGACAACACCGGTATTTGAAGGCACTCGTACAACAACGCGAGCTATAAGAAATTTATTGAAAAAAGCATTAAATATATGATTGACATATAAGGTTTTAAGATGAAAATATGACACATTAACTTTGTAAAATAATATGGTATGTGAATGTGGGTGGAGATCGTTGTCTAAAGCCAAGCGAAGTACGAATAGCAATTACGCGGCTAAAAAAAAACAAAGCTGCAGGAGCTGAGGTCTGTCGGCGGAGCTATTCAAATACATACTTGGGTGAAGAGTCGACGACTGGAATTTACAAATGTGTGATCTGCCCAATCCACAAGAAAGCTTACCCCGCCTTACGCGCCAACTGCCGCGGGATCAGCCTTCCAAGCGACGGATACACAAAATCTATTTGTCGATTCAAAGCGACTTTTGACAGCACGAAAGGAAACAAATACGGCTGAGTAAAATGAAGTTGAGCAATACCACCAGCTCCGTCAGAAGTGGGTACGACCTCTCCGAGCCGTTTGATACCAAACGAGGTTTCAGTTAGGGCGACTACCTTTCATGAGATTTCTTGGTTGAAGAACCTAATTAAAGCCGCAAAACTGAACTGCTCAAGTACCACTGTTTACAAGAGGGTACAATTGCTGGCATGTGCTAACAACAAAAACAAGGGCTACGTCTGTTCCGCCTCGGAATTAGATACAGAACCAAAGTGCTTGGGTATGGTGAGAACATTATACAGCATCTCCTGTAATCACACTAACAGTCAGTGCACACCCATTTCGGCACTCGTGACACTGTTGACAGCTTTAATTTCGAAAAATTAGAAGACTTGCGTTCTTTAGAAACCTGCACCAATAAAATGTTAGATTTGAAATATGAGAATAGGGAAAAAGACATTTTACAAGTTTTGGCTACCGATTATCTAAAACCGATTATCTAAAAAACATGTAAATCAAGGCGAATTTATATAAGGTGGTGTTACTAGATCAGCTGATTTTGTGTATGTGTTTCGCCTCACGGCTTCTTATGTCAAATTGAAAAATTTTGTTTGAATTTCCACACACACTCTTACAGATTTTGACAATTTATGCCGCCAAAGCAAAAACAAAATACATGTAAGTTTTTGTTTTTGTACTCCTGCTATCACCTTATACAAATTCGCCTTGATGTTAATCAAATTTCAAACTTTGTAGAACGCTTATACAAATTCAACGAAATTTTAAACATTTTATTCAGATTTTCTGGAATATTTTGAGTATGCAGTTTAGTAGTCCCTTAAATTTTAGTGCAAGTTTGAAGTAGCTTGGACTTACCACTGATTTTGCCAATTTTTTTTTCTCGCATATTCTTCCATACAAAGTATGATATAATATTTTTGAAGGAATTAGTATTTTTTTTTATAATTTCACTCAATTCAAGCTAGAATCGTTACATTAAAAAAAAAACAAAAACTTAACAAACAATTATACAAGTTATTTTTAAGCAAAAAACAAAACCGACTTCAACTCTCATATAAAATTTAGGAGTACCGTTTAACTTCTTAATGATCTAATGATCAGGCCAAAACCAAATTAGTGTGGGAGAAATCTGTTAACGTGGTCTAAAATTATGCGGTATCATACATAAAAAAATATATATGTATATTCCGATGAATTGATAACCTCCTTTCTTTGAAGTCGGTTAAAAAAACTTAAAAAAATGAGAGAAGAACGATACACTGCAATATAGCGCGAGTACAAGTTTTACAGAATAAAACATAACCAAAGATCGTAGAAAATAAGGATGGTGGTACGAAAGTGCATCCACGTCTGTACGAAATATTTTTTTTTCGGGACAGAGTACTCGTATTAAATTAATATGGAAAACTCTGAATATCGGCACTTAATCGGTACAAATATGAAAAATCGGGACACTTATACGTCCCGATTTTTAAAAAATATTCAGCGGGGCAATTTTCTCAAAATAGGTACTGTCCCGCCAAGTGCTGCTTGCTGTATGGCGCGGAGGCATGGACAATGAAAATATCTGATGGGGCGGCTCTTGGGAGTATTCGAGAGAAAGATTTTGGTGATGATTTACGGGCCATTGCGCGTTGGCGACGGTGAATACCACAGACGATGGAACGATGGCCTGTTGTATGTGCTTTAAAACGATATAGACATAGTGCGGCGAATTATTATACAGTGACTCCGCTGACTCGGCCAATGTCGTACGAATTTACACTTACAGGTCCATTCTGCGCTGGTAACATAAATTTTATAACCGGTAATTAAAGTGTCTGTAAATTTTTAAACCTTTTTCGCATTCTGTGCTCTCTTGTAACCGGTAAATTTGGTTGCCATCTCATAAGCTGGTAACAAAATATTGCCCCGTGAAATATGCAATACAGGAATTTCCACAAATCTTCATAGCTGAGTTGCTGAATATTTTCACTGCATTACCAACGTACCTAGAATCGCGGTGACAAGAAGTGGTAACATTTTTTGGTAATAAAATTTTCCGGTCACAAAATCTTCGGTAACGTGCAGAATAGACCTGTTAGTAGCTTTTCACTCTAAACAAGAGAACTGTGGACGTAATACTTTCGCACATACATATGTAAATGTAAAACAACAGATAAAAACAAATGTTTATACAAGTCCTTTTTTCCTTAATCAGTTTTTTTATCCACGTTCTCTTTCATCTTGTTAATATTTGCTTTTTAATATCCCAGATTCTAATAAATTCTTAGAAAACTAGTGCTTGTAAAACTTATACGACCTCAACTGCAACTATATTAATAAAAAATAATAAAAATATGCATCAACTTACCAACTACATTAATATGTTTTTTCTGATTATCGGCTACACAACTGTAGAGACCATCATCGTAGGTATCTGTTCGGTCGATTATGAACTTTCTTTCGGCCGCAAGAATTCTATAACGGCCTTCAAGTTCTTTGACTTTCGTGATATCCGTACCGTTCTTCTCCCTAGAAAAGAGAAGAATAACAATATTACAAATATATACTTACATATGTATATTAAAGTCCATACTTGCATATGTATGTATGTATGTATGAATGTAAATAATGGTAACTTAAAAATTGTAATCTATACAAATAAAAATGTTAAGTTCGTTTGTTCGGCGCGCAAAAATGTTCTGTATCATTTCTATTTTTTTTGTTTTTCATAGATAAAAATACTTTCGATATATCAATGGGGCGTGGCACCTCGCATACGAACTGTTCGTGGTAGAGTACTGGGACTTGGAATGGAGATATGACTCAAGTCTACACAAGTTTTTGGATGTACCTACTATGTAATTAGAGGGGGCAACAACACAAAAATATTTTGAAGACCCAAACTAGGTGAACCAAGCTGAAACAAGCTAGGTGAACAAAATTTATTCCCGGATTACTACAAAAAGTTAACTTATTAACATAAAGGATATCCGCAAAGCTCTGACTGACATTCAACTGTTCGGGGTGGAAGTGTTCAAAAATAAATTTAAAATCTGTAGTTGAGCTTGACGACAACGATTGATGGACAAGACGATTTAGGCAGGGATAAGTAAGCCGTCACATTAGGAACAACAACCACTATTTGGATTTTATTTTTTCCAGAGCCTATTAACAAGTTAAGAATTTTTCGAA